AGACAACTACGAGATTTGAGCAATTAAATTGGAAAAACACTACAGCCAGTATTTACGAGTAGAAAAATTGAGGACGATGTTAAGATGCGCGAGGAAAAGCCAAGCGAAGCGTTTCTATTTATTCAAATGTGGCCTGTACGATGCAAGCTATGTCGGCTACACTCGTCGGCACCTATTTCAAAGTGTTGCCGAACATCAGAGCTCAGCCAGAATCGGAAACCACATCAAGGAGGAACATACCATGGAGCCAAGGAACCTCAAAGACCCTTTTACCATCTTAAAGAAATGCATGAGTAAACTTGACTGCCTGCTATATGAAATGTTATATATCAGAGATCTCAAGCCAGTACTTAAAACTCATTCACACTCAATCAGAACAAAATTGTTTCTTTAATTAACATAGTTTCCTAATAGTCATTTGTTCTTGTTTTCTCGTCACTTAACGTATTTTGCCACCTTATGCGTATAATTGTAGATCTATTTATAATGCAAAAACTAACCTGCATATTTACTTGACAATGACATTAGATGATGTCGAAACGTCATTTATTTCTTTCGCTAATTTTTGCGTTGAAAATCTTCCCTCAAGCCTTGCTTATTCGATCTCTTTTAATTATAGAAAAAATGGTTAAAAAAACACAACAAACTATGGGAGCGGTGAAGGAGTCCGATTTCAGTTTTCTAACTCGTGAAATCTCCAGGAAGCTGACAACTCAGTGATCTGCCTTAGAAGAGGAAGAGATGACAGATGATATCTGTTGCTGTTATTTCTGTTATTCCTTCTAGAGCGGTTTCCAATTGAGTGTCGTTAAACCAAAACCAAAGTAATCACTCTAGCCAATCACAAAGGACACAGACAATCCAGTGAACCAATCAAAACTCGAAGAAATTACATGTACCTGATGCAAAGCGAGGGAAAACGTGAAGGAGTCAACACTGATTTTGGTTTTACTTCTGACTGGATGAAAAAGTGGCGCGAGTCCTTTAAGCCAATCGTGTAGCGAATCGAAGTAAGGCAAAACCAATAACCTTTCGACACTCGAATGAAAACCTCTCAATGCATGACTGTAACACAGTATTTACATATGTTTTACGTATATAGCTAAAAACGCAGAGCCGCGAAAGAAGGCTATCTCTGTGGTGGAAATTGCTGGAATAATGAAAGACCTGGGAAGCGGTTGGGAAGAACTTGCAACAGAACTTGAGCTTGGAGAAGCAAACGTTCGCAAGATAAGGAAAGAGAACAAAACAGACCGAGAAAAGGCCTATTCTGTCCTCACGATGTGGACGGACAAGGAAGGAGAAGACGCAACATTGGAACGTCTGGTAGATACCCTTGAGAAAATAGCAGAAAGTATCCCTGTGGAAAAGATGCTTGGTATGTAAATGTGAAAGGTTTAGGTAGCAATTTTAAGTCACCCACAAAGTTCTCTACAAGTTACATGAAATATCAAATGACTACATATAAGTTAGGAGCCGAGAAGAAACCGGGAAGACTAAATAAGTAACTCCAAGAGAAAGCAAAGGCAATTGGAAAGATTGAGGCAATTAAGATTTTTCAATGAATTTGAAAAATTGAGGCCTAGTCCCTAGGATACTGTATGCCTTTCACCTTTGTTAGAGAAAGCTCTACCTATCTTTCCTAACGGAATGATATTCACATGTTACAATTACAGGAGTGCTTCGATGAATTTAACTTATTAATTTTTGAAACAAGAATTTTCTGTATTGATATTATGCCTGACGATCTTGTGAAAGATCCATGTAGTTCAGACATGCTTCATTTCGCAGAGTCAGAAGAAAGAGTCGATGACCAAGGGGAAGTGAACAGGCTTTTGAAGAAAGCTAAGGATGAAATTTCAATCGAGAATGGTGAAAAAGAAGCCAGTGGGGAGAGCAGTGAGGAAGCTGTGCTAAAGGAACTAGGCATTCAGTTGCCAGAAGGTAAAATTGCAGAGAAAGATGAAGATGACCAAAAGGAAGTAGCCAAGCTACTGAAGAAAGTTCATGATGAAATTTCGATTGAAAATCGCAGAAAAGAAGGAAGAAAAGAGACCAGTTTGGAGGCTGCCTCTAAGGAAGGTAAAATTGATTAAAAATGTCTGATAAAAGCTAGCTTAAAGCCAGGTTTAAGCCAGGTACTGATCAAGACAATTAAATATTTCGAAATATATATATTATAATAACCGGCATAGTTAACAGAGGGGAATGGTTATGAGGCCTGAGAAAAACCAAAGGGGCAATCAAAAAGGCCAAGATTTATTTTGGAAGGTCAACGACCGTGCACAATCGTTTGTTTTGCGTTCAAACACTGTACATAAATTACGAGACCAAAACGTTTATGTTGGCTAGCTGCTTGGTCAGAGGTAACAACTATTGTGTTTTGGTTGAAAAAAAAAAAAAAGAAAAAAAAAATTTTACAAATTAAAGAACTTTTCCAGCCCGACGGGAGTGGGGAGGGGGGGTTGGGGTTGGGGGTGGGGAAGAGAACTCCCATATGAAAAGGTAGGGGATGCTCGTTAGCAAATTATAATTAAACCACCAAAGGATGTCAATCTGGGCTTGGCTCGAGCTTTATTTTTATCTATTAACTATGTGCCCGGGAACGACTCACTTCGTTGGTTGGTGACTTTCCTTACAACTGTCGACCCCTAATTTTCTTGTGGGGAAACACTCCTTTATCCTGTGAATCTTGTCGTCGGCATTTCGCTTTATCGATTTATTTCGGGCGAATCTCAACTCAAAAGACTGATTCGTAACAAAGAAATTCGACTTGTCATGAGACCCCGCCTACAGAGCCGGCTCATAACAAGAATTTCCCTCACCAGAATCAAATCAGGCTATGAGTAATCTTCGAGCAAACGTCTCAAGGATAAACCGGCAGATGCGTTGAGAATTCGGAACAAAAAAAGCATTGGAAATGTCAAGAATTGAAACAAAGGATCTAACATTTCAAATCAATCTTAGATGAACAACCATCTAATTGACCTTTCAATTTGATAATGTAAGTATCATCGATAAAGTCGATAATTTGGTTCGAAAGTTATCGATATCAGCAATTCTTATCTGGTTTTCTTATTACAAATATTAATTTTTTCAATTTTTTTGCAGCTGCAAACTTTTATAATATATTTAATTGCACAAACCAATATATAGGCTTTGTTATTACATCAAAAAATCTTCAGTCTATTTATTTATGCTTTTTATATTGCAAAGGACGGCGACTACATGAATTCTTGCCTTTTTATTTTAGCTTCAAGCCGTGAAGAAAAGAACCCGAAGAAGAGAGGAAGCAAGAAAGAAGCTAAGCCTATGACTAGCTAGAGTTCAGAGATTAGTTCAAAGCACTTAAAGGGTTAGAGTTAGGGTTAGTGAACCAAAAATTAGACATTTTTTCATTTGAGTTCAATGTGTCCATTAAGCATGAAATAAACATATTCTGAAGTTTCAAACGAATTGGACGAAGCATTGCGGAGATATCGGAATATTAAAATCACTGCTTTTTATCCTTCATAATCGTAGAGCGGTCGGGAAATTGTCGGATAATTGTCGGAAAAAAACTTGTGACGTCACTGTTGGTGAGCTCAAGAAATGCGGGAAATTTGAAATTGTTTTGGTTGGCCGTTTTGGTTTCAAGTTCACGGTGAACTTCAGAGGAAAACCACTCTAAAACAAAAGTTAGCACTTTCAAGTTCTCCCAGGACCCAAAAATTAAAAGAGAATGGCTTATAAAAATCAAAAGAGAATGCTTCATGCCCTCGAAGCATTCGCGCGTTTGTGTAAAACACTTTACCGAAGATTTTTCGAACAAAATCTTGTAGTAAGGAGTTTGTTGCGACCCTCTTTCAAGCTTCGTCAACTTGTAGTCAAGAAAACGACGATTTTTAACTTCACTATGGAACGTTGCAAGCCGGCAATTGGACAAAAAACAACGAAAAACAAGCGAATAATGCCCGCCAAACAGCAGGCGAACTCCTCGGCCATTTCCCAAGTAAAATAAGTTTGTATTTAGATCCAAAACCTTCCCCACGAAAGACTCATCGACACAGGAACGCAGCGATGGTCAAGACAACAATGACGTCACAAAGCAAACTTTCAGTTCCATTCCTCCATTAAAGTACGTGCGCGTTCATTTTGGAAGCGTTTTCGTGGCTCAGAAAGTAAAATTTCCGCATAAGTTTCCCTTTACATGTTTTTGTTTTAACATTTCGTCGCTATAAAATGGCTGAAGAAAAGATGTCTAAATTTTGATTCATTTGACCTTAAGGGACAATGTGAAGGGACGAAATGTACAAGGTAACAGAACATAAAGTATTTGCAGGTTCATCTTCGACACTGGCCCCAATAACTTCTCCTGAGTGCATACACTCCTGGAAGAAATTCTTTGTATTTAGCGCTTAGACCCTGCCAACCATTCCAGTATATCCCTCTAACAAACACAGGAGTCCAATATCAAGTATTCACGGACAAAAGTTGTTCAAAGATTTGAATATTGGAAGATTTCCACATAGTCGACTGGAATCCGGAGAGGCTGGACATAAGAAAGGTGCATAGCAAACCGACCAAGAAGATAAAATCAGAAACAACGATAGCATTATTACTTTAGTCCTTGCTATGGCATAAAGTGAGTGAATGAATGCTATAAAACTTCTGAGAAATTCCAAGCGAACAAAATAGAAAATTTCTCGATAGCGTACAGTTATCGCATCTAATCTCAGTGGAACTGAATTAGACAATACTTGGTGACATCCCTCCTAACATTATACGTGAAAACCGATTGTGTGTTAGATTTTCTCCTCGATGGAAAACCCCCGCAAGCGTTTTGTTGAAAGTCGCCCCCCTTTCTAGCGTTCGAAACCCAAAATGGTCAAATAACCATAAACCGAAGCACATACCAAAAGAATTTCTTTTGTGTTAAGACATTTTGTTATCCCACACATCTCGACCATATACAACGTCACTTTAGCCGGTGCGGATTTTTTTCTGCAGGCAGCACTCCGGGGGTCCCTGGGACAGCCCACCCTTAACCTACAGTACAAACTATTTTTAACGACTGACTCTGGAAAGCTGGTACGCTAACCTAGAACAAACGCCTCTTTACAGATGTCAACAACTACCGGCGCCTTACAAACGACTTATCCATGACGGAAACGAAACCGACAAACGGACTTCCAACCGACCGACTTAATTTGACTAACAATGGACGGACCAAAAACCGACCAATTTGACAAACGATAGGCGGATCGAAACCCACCAATGACTGATGACAAACTTTACACGAGTCTTTCAGCCAATACCATCATGGCTAAGCTGACCAATCATGTTCAACGGACCAGACTTATAACATCATCGACTGACAAACACTATTCACTTGACTCTGAAGATGACTTCCGCTCAGGTTGTCGAAAC